AAAAATGTGTATACACACACACACACACACACACACACACACACACACACACACACGTAGGAAAATATTTAGTATACACATCCAGAAATGCATACACTATTATATATTGTACATATATTTATTAGTTTCAGGTTGGCCATTCTTGTATTTTGCTCGTTTGTGTTGTTGTGTTTGCACATCTCTGTTGCTTGTGGGGCTCACACAAGAATTTCACTCGCATGTGCTGTGCCAGTGTGCCTGCACATGTGATGTGACAATAAAAGTGATTTGATTTGATTTGATTTGATTTGATTTGTAGTTTCTTGTTTTGTATTTTGACAGTTTTATGGGCTCATATTTCATCTTCTTACCTCAAACATGGATTAAAGATTTTTATTGTAGTACATATGTATTTCATTATCTTTTCATGTTTAAATACTATTTATTCAACATGTTTGTCCTTAAAAATGAAAATTATGTTAAATCTACAACATGTATTTTAATTTACTGTCTCTTAAAAATACAGAAATATTCTAAATATTAATTACAGAAAGCTTATATATTTTTATGTGATGGTATCCATCCATCCGTTTTCTACAGCTCATCCAGGTTCAGGTTGTGGGGGCGGAGTCTGTGGAGAGCGGCACAAAGAAGCCCAGACATCCTCTGCCTGTATAATGAGACATTTACAGTTTTACCAGGTCTAACTGATTACAAATAGCTTGGGGAAAAAATGGATCCCATTGATGCGACCGTCTCAGGAGTACATCACGCCCACCCACATAATATTCAAACCTTTGATTTCCGAGGAGCAGCCAATCAAAGGAAAGTGGGTGGAGCTGCTCCAAGTACCAGTACAACATTTTTAAAAAGATGGTTTGAAATGCAGTATTTTTCCAATATTGTGAATCATGCAAATCCAAGAATAAATATCTGAAGTTGTAAAAACAGTCCTAATACAGGCATCCATTGTTTTTCTTTTTTTAAACTTTTGTCAGTTAAACATTAAAACAAAAAGTACAATTTTAAATATTTGCATTTCTATATATTAAATTAAAAGTGAAGTAGGCATCATAGGTACCATTATGTTCTGTGGCAACAGTGATAGCAGACATTTGCTTGCCTATGATGGCACAGACATGCGTAGATCAAGTCGGTGTCGAACAAATGACTAACCCGATTCAGTGCCTCTGCAGGCCCCACGACTGTGCAAAGGTTGTCTGTGTTTGTACAGTAAAGGGTTAAGGTTAGGGTGTACAAAGGCCCGATGAAACAGAATACATTGAATCACAGCATCACCATGTTTGCATCTGTTGCTCTGATATTGTTGTTGGTGTTGTTGCTTCTCCTGCTGCTTTTTTCAGCATACAGACCCAATAATTTCCCTACAGGCCTGCGACCAATCCCCGTCTTTGGAAACCTGTTGGATCTCAATTCAATTCAATTTTATTTATATAGTGGCAAATCACAACAAAAGTCGCCTCAAGGTGCTTCATAGATACAGGGAAAAACCCAACAATCATATGAGCCCCTATGAGCAAGCACTTTGGCGACAGTGGGAAGGAAAAACTCCCTTTTAACAGGAAGAAACCTCCGGCAGAACCAGGCTCAGGGAGGGGCGGGGCCATCTGCTGTGATTGGTTGGGGTGAGAGAAGGAAGACAGGATAAAGACATGCTGTGGAAGAGAGACAGAGGTTAATAACAGATATGATTCAATGCAGAGAGGTCTGTTAATACATAGTGAGTGAGAAAGGTGACTGGAAAGGAAAAACTCAATGCATCATGGGAATCCCCAGCAGCCTACGTCTATTGCAGCATAACTAAGGGAGGATCCAGGGTCACCTGAGGGAAGCCAATGCAGGATCTGGAGAAGCCTATTGCTGGTCTAGAGGGGGTAAAGTTTAATATCTTTTCTAATATTTTAAATATATAAAACAATTCTACAATTTTTTTAATATATGCATTCATTGATGTACACACTGATAGGTTTGTCTGAGATTCCTGCATCTTTAATTGTTTCCTGGTGTTAGTTTTTGTTTTCCGTTCTCTCTAAAAATAAAATATTAGATGGGATTAGATAAAACTTTATTAATCCCTCCGGTGGGTTCCTCCGGGAAATTCGGTAAGCTGCATACAGGTTAATAAGGGAAATGACTGTTTTTAGTCTAGATATAATGATACTCACTTGTTGAATAAATATCTTAAAAGATGAATGAAAATAGAGTTGAATATGCCAAAGGTTTTTTTTTCGTGGTAGTTATTTCACTCGGCTGTTTGTCTGCCCGAGCTGATGAGCTGAGCTCCTCACAGAACAGAGGGGGCTTGGCTCTGTGACCTGATGGTCAGTTATTTATCAAAAAATCTAACTTAAAAGAATAAAAATGCTCTGCAGAGCTGCTGTGAGGTGATTTTAGTCCAAACAAGGTCACTCGTTTGGACTAAATCTTTACGACGACGATAACTTTTTAAAATCAACTGTAAATCAATGTTACAGTGTCTCATAATTGCACTGAATCTGAATTTCATACCCTATTTTTATAAAACATGCCACTTTATCTCCCCCAGCTGGCTGAACACTATGGTAACATCTACAGCCTTTTTATTGGTCCCAGGCCTGCGGTTGTTATCATTGGGCCTTAAAGGAGGCCCTGATCCACAAAGCTGCTGACTTCTCTGGCAGACCACAACACCTAATGTACAATCATGCTGCACAAGTGAAAGGTACGATAGCTTTCTGTGACTTTCTGTCTCTTTATGCAGCCCCCGCAGACATGTTTCATCTCGTCTCAATTTTTACACCAGATCCTCTTCCTGATACAGCTCCCAAGGGATTTGTGTCTCTTCCAATCAATCAATCAATCAATCAATCAAAGCTTTATTCGCCACATGCAGGTTGCCCTGCAGTGAAATGGGACCCCACCCTCCCGACCTTACACACACAATACAGACATCACATGGGGATACAGGTCGGAGATCGGTAGCGTTACAGAAAAAACACTGAAATGTACACTACAATGGGAAAGAACAAGAGGAAAAAAAGAGACCTCTACTCATGCTGTGCTTCCATGGTAGGACAGCATGAGAACAGGAAACAAAAAAACTCCTCTGCACAAAAAGCACATAAATGTCCACAGCACAACATTATGAAAGACATGACAAGCCACAGGATTGGGTGGGGGGTGAGGAGTAATCCGAAGCGAACACAGCAGCCGCCCTGCACAGCGCTACCATTCCAGCGCGGCGCACAGACCCGCCGTGTTCCCCCGCAGGAAACAAGCATCGAAGGCGTTTGGAAAGGGAGGGGGATGAGTGCGTGCTTATCAGTGTAAGTGTATGTGTGTGCGTGTCCATAGTTCAGCTGAGACAGTGTCCTTCGCCCTATCATGCTAAGTAAACAGTCTGCCAGCCAACCCAGGTGGCCTTGCATGGAATGGGGGGAGCAGTCTAAACACAGTCGTTATCAGGGTGTTGTTGTTCAGCTCCAGCCTTGAGGCCGCAGCTGGCGCCGAAGGGGTCTCCGCATGAAGTGATGGTGGTTTTTACTTTAGTGCGAACAACTCATATGAATTTCAAAGCTGTTCTACAGTCCGACACTGGTCTCTCAATCTCCCGTTGGAGAGCCGCGAGCTTCCTATGATGTTATCAAACTTACGTTCCGTGATGTTGTCGTTCTTTTTGCTCAAAGAGCCGATTCTGAGAACTCACGACCGCAGTGCACTTCCCCAAGATGTGATCGAATTTGCGCTCAAAGGTGTTATTCGAGCGAGCCCCTCCAGATGTAATCCAGTTTTTCACTCAGAGATCTTATTCTGAGTATTCACGGCAGCCGTAGCCTCTCCAAGATCTTCTCCGTGCTGCACTCAATGAGCCCATTTTGAGAAACTCACGCCTCGTCCCATCGTTCCAATCCCAGCGGGCAGCCTTGTGGGGGTTTGAACAGCCGGTTCCGCTTCCTTAATTCTTCGATAAGTCAGGGTCAAGCCAGCTCCGATCAGCCAGAACCCTGTTACCATAGTTCCGAATAGGTAGATATCTTCAGCAGTCAGGCTCACCCAAGCCCAGACTTCTCGTTGAGAAAGGGGTGTCAATTGCATTCAGAGACCAGTTGATCAAATCCATAATTCCTCTTTTAGGTTTTAGAGAACAGACTGTGAGAGAGTGTCCAGGGAAAAGTACACGAGACAGGACAAGGACACAAGAGGCTAAGCAGCGAAGATAAGGGGAAGAGGAGAGGAGAAAAGTGCGACCGCCTTCGCCGTGAGCCAAACGAAGTTTGGAACTGAACTGCATAACTTTTGCTTGTGAGGTGAATGTGTAAACCACTAAACTATGAAAATGTAACTGCTGTGGTCCTCCGTTTGTTATTTTAATGGTAAAGGAGTAAGAGCACAATGACAGCCTCGGGTCTCAGAGTTGCATCGGATAACAGTGGCCACTGGAAATGTAATGCAGACGTATTAGTCTGCATGTGGTTGGAGTGCAAGATTAAAATAAATTAAGTGGGAATACTTTCTGTGGTGACATGAATGTGATGTAAATACTGTGAAACAAAGTAAATGCTGAATGTCAAAACTCCTTACACTGGCGCCATCTGGTGGTAGCAGTGAGAACAACAGGTGATGTGCTTGTAATTACTGAAACATAATTAAAGGGATAAAAGTTTCCGTTTTTGCATGTAGCTCACCCTCCAGGAGTGGTTTTAGCAGATTACAGTCCCGGTTAGAGCACAGACGCTTCTGCCTGATGACCCTGAGAAACTTTGGTCTGGGGAAACAGTCCATGGAGCAGAGGATTCTCGGAGAAATGCAGCACGCTGTGAAGCTTCTGCAGGAAAGCGTTGGTATGCTTTTCTCCAGCAGTGAGTAACTAATTGTTTTTGTTGCTCTGTTTTTAATGACGTGTGTGACTAAAAACGTCTGTTCACATTGTTTCTCCAGGTAGGACCACAGACCTTCAGCTGCTGTTCCACACTGGAGCCTCAAACATCATCTGCCAAGTTCTGTTTGCTGAGCAACGAGGATGAATTCATCAAGTTTTCTGTTCGTCTTTTTCATGAGACATCCAAATTAATCGCTGGGGCACGGTGAGCTGCTTTCATAGTGACGCCTCTGAATATCATGCTGTCACTAATATTATGCAGAATAAATACAATCTGCAAACAAGGTCACACCATAACAAGACCTTCAGTAAAATTACATTTCATCACTTTTTTCATCTGTACAGACTTCCTGTGGTGCGCACCTTCCCGCTGCCTTTCCCGAAAGCCTTCAAGTATTTCAGGCTATGTTTTGGAAAGTTTTGATTTGCAAAACTTTTGTAAATAATCCTTATTTTATGTTTTAATGCAGAGACAATAGCAAAGCTGTCATATGTTTGATGATATACTCCTGTAGAAGTGAAGGAGCTGACAGGTGAAACCTCTTCCTTAGATGAACATGATCAATAATCATGTATAACCACTATATTAAAAATCAAATATTCTCATTCAAACCAGGAAAATGTTCGTATTAAAAATTAAAATTATGTCACTTGAAATTGAAATGTTGAGGTGACCACATGTGACCACATTGAGGCACATTTGAATCAGGCACAAATGACACAAGCACTGAGTGCTAGCTCTCCATATATTTTCAAACATTTCCCCCAAAAGCAAGAAAAAGCCCCAAAATTCTGTTATTTTACTGGACGTAGTATGATGCAACACAGGATCAACAATACAGCACCTGCAGTATTAAGTGTGAGTCAGTTTTATCCATGTGTTTAAAAACATCCATGTCAGCATGACACACGGTGCAGTCATCGAAACAGCTCATCAAAGCTTTTTTCCTGTTAGATCGCCCATGAAAGAGATTTGGAGAAGTTGACAGAGAACAAAAAGAGCAAAGTTCCCGGTAAACCACGTCGTTTATAGATTGCTACCTGGAACCTGGATGAACTGGACAAGGTGTGTGTGTGTGTGTGTGTGTGTGTGTGTGTGTGTGTGTGTGTGTGTGTGTGTGTGTGTGTGTGTGTGTGCTGTCTCCTGCTCAAACATTTCAGTGTAAACAACTGATTAAAAAAACACTGACGCACTCGTTTCCTCTCGTCTGTTCATCAAGAGAGGAAACGACGGCTCGTTGTTTTCTGAAGACCAGCTTTCACTGCGCACCGTCACTATGCTGGAACTGACCCACCTGCAAACACCATGCTTGTTGCAATCCTCTACCTGATGAATTAGCGCGAGGTGCAGGGTATGCTTTTTATACAGTGTCTCGTTTAGCCAAGGATTAGCTGCATGTTTGATGCTTTGTGACCTGCAAAACTAACGGCATCTTAATAATAATAAATAATAATAATAATACATTTTATTTAAAAGCGTCTTTCAAAACACCCAAGGACACTGTACAGAACAAACAATACAGCCATAAAAACAGGAAATAAACACAATAATAAAAAAAATGTTTACAAGCATGGAGAAGTTATATAGAGAAGGCTATCTTGAACAGGTGGGCTTTGAAGGTGGACTTAAAAAGAGGGAATGAACTGATGTTTCTGAGGTCGGGGCATAGGGAATTCCAAAGTCGAGGGGCAGAGCGACTAAAAGCCCTGCCTCCCATGGTGAAAGGAAGACGAAAGGAAGGAACAGAAAGAAAAAGAGAAAAGGAGGATCTGAGGCACCGGGATGGGATGGAGATCTGTACCAAATCAGAGAGGTATGGTATGAATAGCCTTATAATAGACTATAAAGGAGTATTTTAAAATTAATGCAAAGTTTAACCGCTAGCCAGTGAAGCTGCTTCAGGATAGGGGTGATGTGGTGGGTAGGGGGAGTCCTAGTGATAATACGGGCAGCAGAGCTCTAATCCTGCAGGGATGATGGAATGTGTGTGAGTTTGGGGTATCACGCTTGGTAAACATGTGTTACCATCCTGCAAGGATTCGCTGTGTACCGGCTGATATGAAAACCAGATTTACAAAATATGTAGACGATAAGGAGAATCAGCACCTCCAAATCCGAGGCCATGGTCCTCAGCTGGAAAGGAGTGGAGTGCCCACTCTGGGTTAGGAATGGGTTCCTACCTGGAGTGGAGGAGTTTAAGTATCTCAGGGTTTTGTTGAGTGCGGGAGAAGGGAGCGGGACGCTGACAGACTGATTGGTGACGTGGACACTGTGCTGGTCCACTGTGGTGAAGAGAGAGCTCAGTGTAAAAGCAAAGTTCTCAATTTACCAGTTAATCTGCGTCCCCACCCTCACCTACAGTTTGAGCTGTGGATGGTGACTGAAAGAACGAGATTGCGGATACAAGCGGCAGAAATGAGCTTCCTCTGAAGGGTTTCTGGCCTCTGCCTTAGAGATGGGGACTCAGGATAGAGCTGCTCCTCCACATCGAAAGGAGCCAGCTGAGGTGGTTCGGGCATCTGATGAGGATGCCCCCTGGGCGCCTCCTGGGTGAGGTGTTCCAGGCATGTCCCACCGGGAGGAGGCCCCGGGGCAGACCCAGGACACGCTGGAGAGATTATATCTCTCGGCTGGCCTGGGAACGCCTTGGTGTTCCCCCGGATAAGCTGGAGAGGGGTGGCTGAGGAAAGGGAGGTCTGGGCTTCTCTGTTTATGCTGCTGCCCCCGCGACCCAACCCGGATAAGTGGAAGAAGATCGATGGATGGATGGATGGATGGATGGATGGATGGATGGATGGACGGACACCACCAACATAGCATTTGAATGCAAAGCAAGGAGATCTGCTCATTAACTAACCTCCTTTAATTGGCCTGTAATTAGTATTTTGAGGCCATAACAGACGTCGGTCAGCCAGGACAAACTGACACCAGGTGCAGCTACTAATGTCTTTGGAATTGTGGTTGTATACACAGCTTAAAGATAACTGTGTTTCTCCGAGCATTGTCAGCAGGAAATAGACATAGCTGTGGATGGGAAGGATCAAGCCAGTTTTGAAGATGCTCTGTGTGCAGGTAGATTCAATTTTGTTTATTTATTTATTTAGACAGACTATTAACCCGTCATTGCTTTAAAGTCACCAATAAGACAAACAGGTACAATAAATGTAGCCTGAATATTTACATAGTCTGAAATAATGTATTATAGAAGGATGCTGCTGTTTCTTTGATGTGGTAACAACATAGTGTCATATTTGTCATGCAGGCTGTTATTCACGAGGTCCGGAGGATGGCTAATATTGCTCCCCTCAGCATTTTTCACCGCACTAGTAAAGACACTGAGTTAATGGCGTACTCGATAGCCAAGCTAAATATGAAAGAAACAGAAATAATTTTCTTGAATAAAACATTTGAGAAAATGTTACTGCTGTGCTAAACAGCTGAGAGAAAAGTGAGGGCAGCAGTTATCGTTTTTACAATAACGTATATTTACAGCATTGGAAAATGTATGAAAGCATACGTGAGGTGATGAGGGTCATCTTTGTATTCTTTAGGGAACCATCGTCATCCCCAACCTGTCATCGGTGCTTTTTGAGGAGGGGCAGAAACTTCCTCAGTGTCAGTGGAGGGTTTGTTAGACCAGAAGCCTTCGTGCTTTCTGTGCTGCTGCACAAAAGATGTCAAATGGTCTCTCTGGTTCTTACTAACCACCAGAAGATTACAGGCTACCCTTCATTATCCTTCAGTTTCACAAAATGCTACGTGTGGGTTTTTTGCGAGGTTGTTGGTGTGAAGTTGAAATAAACAATAGCTAATAGTCTTTGAGCATTAACAAATTTATCCTTTACATCCTCAACATGAAAGACAGACATGGTCACTAAGATGTCTTCTATTAGTTTGCACTTTTTGTTTTTTGGAGGTTTTGGAGATAACAGTTACCAAATATAGTCAAGACCTTTGACCTGTGACTGATCAGTTAATGAGTCTGTTCTTTATTCTACAAACTCAGATACAAAACGAAGATAAAACTACCATTTATATGTGGACAGGAGGATGGAGTGCTAAGCTATCCACTGAGGCTAGCAGTCTGGGTAGAAAGCTGCATCCATAAACTGTATGTGTGCAACCCACACACACATAACAACTTCTAAGTTTAGCAGAAAGCTGTTGACTACACTTGTGTCAGCAGTTTCTGACACTTTTGTGTAGGCTTCATATTTCTGCCCTGGACATTACTGCTTGGTCAACATTATAGTTTAGAGGTGAATGATTGGCTCCTCCGGGGAGCCGGAGCGTGCTTCCTCATTAGTCAAACGGGAATCTGCTGGTGAACTGCTAATAATTTTTTGTGTACTTTTAAAAATGTGGCCTGATTTTGGAACTTAACGACAGAAGGACTTAATCTCTTGAGATGAAACCCGCAGTGATAGATATCTGACACGAGTCATCATTCGTTTGTGATTCACTCAGATGATTAAAAAGTTGGTCTGTTGCTGTGGTTTTACTGTACAAGAGTTACATGTGTACTTAATAATGACACAAAGATATTTAAGATATGCTCACAAATGAATCAATTCTGTCTTTTCTGGCTGACATAAAGGCACACTGCACGCTGTTCACTTTTACCAGTAGCCTTTTGATGGTAGGACAGCACTGTGTTATTGAAGCTTTTGTGTGGATGCTGTATTGTTTGACTGGGCGGGAGGCCGGGGTGGGGGGCGGGATTGTGCATGTGTGTGTGCTGACATGGACCTTCTGTGATGGCTTTCAGCTGGATGGATGATGTGGTACTGAGGACAGTGAGAGGAGAGTGGAAGAGAAAAACAGGCTGAAGGAAGATTTTAAAAACACTCATTAAACAAACGAAGCACGCGGCGAGACGCACGGCTGACTGAGATGGACTCGAAGACACTGAGACAAACTTGGGATTATCAGTAAGGGATCATCAGAAGAGGAGTTTCTCAAACATGGACTAGTCTGGGAGCGTGCACATATATAGACAAACACACACTCACCCTCATACATTCGCACACTCTGTTCCCTCGTGAGAGGCCTTGGAAGCGGACAGGTGCCATTATGCAGGAGTCTCCAGGTGCGGTTGGTGTGGATGGCAGCTACACTAGTAATGTTCCAGCCTTTCTAACTAAGCTGTGGACCCTGGTTGAGGACCCAGACACCAACCACCTTATCTGCTGGAGTGCCGTGAGTCACATCTACATTAATATTAATGGTTACTACTTAATATTAATTTTTAGTACAGTATATATAAGAAGTGAATATGGCATAGGTTGTCTATGAGAGACTGACCAGCTTGTTAAAGCTCTGGGGAAACTGTTGAAGCTGATGTTGCAGCTTTAACAGTACAAAAAATCCTACATGTCTTGGTTGCAAGATCTTTATTTGGTGGTGACTTAGTGGTTTCAGTATCAAGGCTTTGTTATTGGGTTGTTTAGCTTGTTAAGTAGTTGCATTTCTGATATTGATCCTATGTAACAAGTAACTCCATCAGTGGACTAAAGCTTTGAACAGTATCGTAAAGTAAATATTTCTGTTAATCTGAAATAGTAACAAAAATCTATTTGTGTAGTGTGAAGGCATCGAGTATGATCACAAATCCAGCACAGAGGCTCTGCCATGTGTCCTCGAGAACACCGCTGTGCATGTAAAGCTCACTGCTCATCCATGTTTGAGTTATTTTAACAAATGCAAACAAAAGCCGCTAACAAAAGCGTTACCCCCTTCAAAGCGTGTAACGTTTAGTTACAGCAGACCTTCCCAAAGTGTGGGGCGCTGAGCCATTGCAAGGGGGGGGGGCGCGGTATGAAAGGGGGGGACGCTTGGACACTGCTAGCACGGGGCGCCCACACAAACGCAAAGCAGGAGATGAAGCATCGCTGAATATGTTTCCAAACCAACTTCATTCTAAGCCAAAGACTAGAAAATATGGTGAAGCAAATCTGCCCTTTGGCTTCACCTGCACAGGTGCTGAGGTAGGTCTCCCTGCAGGGTTGGTTTTCCCTGTGTCGGGAGCAGCGCTGGGCTGTTCAAATCACGGACAAACAGGATCCCACATCCTTGATTTTTAGTTCACAAACACTTGTTGTAATGACTAACTACTCCTGACATGTTGGAGATGTTTGCTCTGTATACAGTAAAGTTACAGCGGGATACAAATAACATCAGGCTGATCCTGCCACAGTTTGTTCCCTCGGTTCAAATCACAGACAAACAGGATCCCACAGCTGTTTATGTTTTTACACCCATTTTGCACAGAGAGGCATTTTTTAAAAATGTATTGACAGCAATGTTGAATATTATTACACAGGAAAAAAACAAGTACACGTAAAATAATCACACGGTGACGCCTCTGCCTTTGTAAATGGAGGGACAGTAACTGCGTGTAAACCTGCAGACAGTCAGATTAACAGTATTTTGTCTCTATCTGCCATTCTGCGATTCATCTCCTGTAAACAATAACATGGCCACAGTGTGACGTGAAAAAGGCACATACCTTTGACGCTGCGTGACCAACTCCGTATTCCTCGTCCACATGGAAACGCAAAAATTTCGGAATTTCGGTAAAATGTACAAATTTATACCTGCTGGTAAGAAAAAAAAGGACAAAAATGGGCAAAAACTGGGTAAAAGTTCTGTTGTTATTCATTTAATGTTCCCCAATACATGCAGCATCCATATAACGTTGATTTCACCTGGTTTCAAACAGTGATGTTGCATTTTATCACTGACAGACTCTCTGCTTGACCAAAACACCAAATTCCCAAATAGACAAACATTTACTTTCATGTTTACACCGAGTTTGTGCTGCGCTGCGTTACTGGCATTACTCACTGCTAGTTCTGATTAAAATGTGTTATTATTGGGATCAGTCATCTGTAGACGAACCCCGGCATCGGCCAGTTTTCCAGATGACTCCCTATTGTTAGTATTATTTAATAACTCATAACGTATTATTATTTAAAGTTAACTCAGCTACTTGTAAGAGCTTACCTGGATGTCTGTGAAATCCAGAGATGGAATCAAACGCAGCACGATGGTAACCGCACTCAATGTGTAAACACATTTAAAAAGGCTAAAAGTTAACCTGATCTTCAGTTTCTTCATGTTTTTGGTTGATCTGAGGAAAAGTACATCACAGCGGTGTTTCCTGTCACACTGAGCTGCCGTACGCTAATGTTTGCAACACAAAAACGATTCAGTACAGATTAGTACGCACATGAATGATGTATTTCTCTCAGTGCTGGATTAGCTATGCACAGAGATCCTGAAAACTGATTCTGCATTTCTGTGTTTTCTCTGTTTCAGACTGGGACTAGTTTCCATGTGTTTGACCAGGGTCGCTTTGCTAAGGAGGTTTTGCCCAAATATTTTAAACACAACAACATGGCAAGCTTCGTCCGGCAACTCAACATGTGTGAGTTTCTCCTCTCCTCTCCTCTCCTCTCCTCTTCATTCTCCATTTATTTATCAGTCCTACTTTTTGCTTATAGATGGTTTTCGTAAGGTGGTAAACATCGAGCAGAGTGGTTTGGTGAAACCTGAGAGAGACGATACAGAGTTCCAACATCTGTACTTCCTCCAGGGACATGAGCACATGCTGGAACACATCAAAAGAAAGGTATGGATGCAGATAGGAGCAATGTCTCTGAAGGAGTTCTTCATTATGCTAAATTGTTTGTTTTCCTTCATAAAAATTATTAAGATCCAGTCCAGATGCTTTTCTTTTCAAGTTCCTTAGACGACGCTTCTATCAAAGCCAATAACAGTGTGGTGCTTTGACCAAAGTCCAAGACCTTGCTATTGGTCCAGTTAGGTGAAGCTGCACGTTTAGAGAGGGGTTTTGCACAAAAAATATTATTTCTCTCTTACAAAAAGACATCTGAGAAACAGAAATCATTGTTTTCGTTTTATATCAGTCTGTAACAAACCATCTCCCTCAGCTCTGGACATCCAGTGACAACATCATACTTCAAGAGTTCAGGCGCAGCTTTTTTCACTGAACACTGTTCAAATTTTCACATAAAGGAGATTTTAAAACGTGACATGAAAACACAGCATTGGTGTAGTTTGTGGACATGAACTACCATTCGTGTAAAACGCCCGTAGAACTGTAGTATTTCTGTTGTCATAAATTAATTCTATGCCAAAGTTCTTATGATTTATCTTAACATATAATTCAAATCATTCAAAAATGAGAAATGTGATTTTTTCTTTGCATTTGTGGGAAAGTGAGAAAAATGGACCCGATATTGATGCTTGATAATTGCTGGAGTTATTCATCATTTGAGGTGTTTTTACCTGAACACACAACATCAATGTTAGTTTGGAAATGAGTTACCCAGAATGCATCATGTTTTCAGGTGTCCATAGTGAAGAGTGAAGAGACTAAAGTTCGTCAGGAGGACCTCAGTAAGCTGCTGTACGAAGTCCAGCTTCTCAGGACACAACAGGACAACATGGAGTGTCAGATGCAGGACATGAAGCAGTGAGTACAGGACGTGTGTGTCTGTGTGTGTCTGTGTGGGTCTGTGTGTCTGTGTGTGTCTGTGTGGGTCTGTGTGTGTCTGTGTGTCTGTGTGTGTCTGTGTGTGTCTGTGTGGGTCTGTGTGGGTCTGTGTGTCTGTGTGTGTCTGTGTGGGTCTGTGTGTGTCTGTGTGTGTCTGTGTGGGTCTGTGTGTCTGTGTGGGTCTGTGTGTCTGTGTGGGTCTGTGTGTGTCTGTGTGGGTCTGTGTGTCTGTGTGTGTCTGTGTGTGTCTGTGTGTCTGTGTGTGTCTGTGTGTGTCTGTGTGTCTGTGTGTGTCTGGGTCTGTGTGTCTGTGTGTGTCTGTGTGTGTCTGTGTGTGTCTGTGTGGGTCTGTGTGTCTGTGTGTGTCTGTGTGTGTCTGTGTGTCTGTGTGTGTCTGTGTGTGTCTGTGTGGGTCTGTGTGTCTGTGTGTGTCTGTGTGTGTATGTGTGTCTGTGTGTGTCCGTGTGTCTGTGTGTCTGTGTGTGTCTGTGTGTGTCTGTGTGTGTCTGTGTGTGTCTGTGTGGTCTGTGTGGGTCTGTGTGTCTGTGTGTGTCTGTGTGTGTCTGTGTGGTGTCTGTGTGTGTCTGTGTGTGTCTGTGTGTCTGTGTGGGTCTGTGTGTGTCTGTGTGTGTGTGTGTGTCTGTGTGGGTCTGTGTGTCTGTGTGTGTCTGTGTGGGTCTGTGTGTGTCTGTGTGAGTCTGTGTGGATCTGTGTGGGTCTGTGTGTGGGTCTGTGTGGGTCTGTGTGTGTCTGTGTGGGTCTGTGTGGATCTGTGTGGGTCTGTGTGTCTGTGTGTGTCTGTGTGGGTCTGTGTGTGTCTGTGTGGGTCTGTGTGGGTCTGTGTGTCTGTGTGGGTCTGTGTGTGTCTGTGTGGGTCTGTGTGTCTGTGTGGGTCTGTGTGTGTCTGTGTGTGTCTGTGTGGGTCTGTGTGTGTCTGTGTGTGTGTGTGTGTCTGTGTGGGTCTGTGTGGATCTGTGTGTCTGTGTGTGTGTGTGTGTCTGTGTGGGTCTGTGTGTGTCTGTGTGTGTCTGTGTGGGTCTGTGTGTCTGTGTGGGTCTGTGTGTGTCTGTGTGGGTCTGTGTGTGTCTGTGTGGGTCTGTGCGAACTGATATCACAAGTCCCGCCCCTTCTTGATTTTGATTTGTCATTGTCACAGAGGCGACACTGTTTCAAAAGTTCAACAGATTTTTAGGTAAAAGGGATTTTAGTGCAGCAGAAAATAAAAACACTCAACTTCAGACGATTCGCACAAACGTGCTGAAAAAAGTTCCCTTTGACTCAAAGCCTGAAGTTTCAGACACACGTTTCAGTCCAGTGTGAACTGGAGCATCAGACGTTCTGCAAAATCACTTTGTTTATTTTACTGTAGGTGCAAAAACTACATTTGTAGATTATTACAGTCATAAACACGTGTAAGCACAGAAACGTTTAATAGTTCATATTTGACTGAAATTTGAATGTGAATTACTGTGATTGTGGAAGAGTGTTGTGCTGTTCTCTGGAAGAATATAAGCACAGTCTTTCATATTAACTAACAATTATTAAAGCGTAGACACCTAAATAAAAACAGTTAGCCCTTTTGGATCGTTGTGATCCTGTTTTTATTTATTTTAACATTTTAACCTCTGAGGGAGCTGAAAAGTATGATGTGTGTGTGGAGCCCAGAAACATGACTGACGCTTGTTGGGCTGCATAAAATGTCCTTGTTCAGTTTTACACTGGCAGGGAAACGATGCCCTTCCTGACTCTTCTGTCTCCTTGAAAAAATATTTCACATTTTTCTAGTTAAAAACATTTTTTTTATTTGTCCTCTGAACTTGTTTTTGGTAAAATAAATACAGCCATGCTACAGCGATGTCCGCTCGTGGTCATCTGACCCACACACTCACACATTGCTGGCCCATGTTGAAGACAGGGATTGTGTCAGAGCAGCAGCTAACCTGTGTTTTGTTTCTCTTGCTAAGTAGATGACCTCACTTTTTTTCTACACACTATTGTTACTGAACAGAGCTGCTGTGCCTGTTGTGTGGCTGCTTTGTGCTCCGTATTGTTTGTTAATGAGAGAAGAGAATGTTCACCTGCTCACCTGACTAACACACACACACACACACATCGGTAACCACTGGTAATCTTCTCAGAAAGGTGAGCACACGTGAACACAGGTGCGTGCATATGTATGTGAGCAATGGTGTGGACATCCATCACAGAAAGTCAGTGTGTCAGCAGGTGGATGATGAACATCATCGCTGTGTGTTTATGTCGACGTGACGCCATTGCTTCCTTTAGCTACCCTGCACACATTTCCACATTGAGGGAAATTTGGGATTTAACCAACACAACTATTTAAACTTTTCTTCTTTTGCACATCAACAAAACAAAGACAGAATCTTCATTTCCTCAGGGTGGATTGTTTTTAGGCAAATGGAGGAAAAGACAGCTAATAGAGTCATAAATACATTATAGAGATTGCACATGATTAAACTTGTTGAGCATGTTTGGCTGAAAGATTTCTGCTGTGCACTGATGCCTGACAGGTTAAATGAAACACTGCTTGTGCCTGAAGCACGCATGCTCGTGAGATTAACCTGAATGAACCTAAAGTAGTGAAAAAAACCTACATGGAAGAATCGACTGTGCTCTTTTCTTTGCATCACATCGAAACCCAGTTTTTAACTCTGCTTATTAAAAACGTAATTAGTCTATAAACAGGTGGCTATAACAAAACGTTCAGGTCGTACTTGTAATGTTTCGCATTCGTTCTGCTCGTTCCGCCTTTCTGATCTCTGCAGTGTTTCCCCTCCGTTTGCAGGCAGAATGAGGTGCTGTGGCGGGAGGTGGTGTCACTGAGACAGAACCACACGCAGCAACAGAAAGTCATGAACAAGGTCAGTCTATGGGTACTCATGATGCATTTATATGTTTATGTAAAACACAGATACAAAAGTAAGTAATGAAAGTTTTTGCCTTCACGTTTGACTCACGGGGCGATCGTGGCTCAAGAGTTGGGAGTTCGCCTTGTAATCGGAAGGTTGCTGGTTCGAGCCCCGGCTTGGACAGTCTCGATCGTTGTGTCTTTGGGCAAGACACTTCACCCGTTGCCTACTGGTGGTGGTCAGAGGGGCCGGTGGCGCCAGTGTCCGGCAGCCTCGCCTCTGTCAGTGCGCCCCAGGGTGGCTGTGGCTACAATGTAGCTGCCATCACCAGTGTGTGGATGTGTGGATGACTGGATGTGTAAAGCGCTTTGGGGTCCTTAGGGACTAGTAAAGCGCTATATAAATACAGGCCATTTACCATTTACCATTCACGCTTCTGTATTTCACATGTATCTTCCACACTTCCACTAAAGGAATAAACACTGAACAAATACTTCAAAGCTATATTTCGGTGATGTTACCGTTTCTTTCTGTTATCGCTGAGCTTCCAGCATCTTTGTAACTGATGAAACCTGCCAGAGGTCGGCAGCAGGAGTATAATTTTCCTTCCAGACGTTATTCAAACTACACAGTGGATGTTTGTTCTCTGTGGGTTCGTCGCTGTGGTGGAAAGTAAATGAAGTTCTTTTCACAGCTAAGGTGATTTATGTATAAATTTGTGAGACGTTTGAATGCAGGACCGACGGCACTTGTATCACAGTGTTTTACAGTATTTCTTTTGAACTTTTTGTTTTAGAGTTGAAGGTAAATGTTCTGGCGTCATAAAGCATTGTTTCCTTTGCTTTGATAGAGTGCTGTTTTAACACCGTCAGCTAGCTTACTGGATTGTTACTTGAAGCATCAGCACTTTTGCTGCATGTCTGATTCACAAAAAGATGAATCAGTTTATAAAGTGAAAATGTTCAGACCATCAGACCTGAGAAACACAAAGGTTCATCGTCTGAACATGTGAGCGGGGAGGTTAGGGCTCGTGTCTCTCAGTTTCCTGTTCTGTTTATATCTGAAGGTAAAAATGAGAGTTGGTGATGTTTTCCTGTGTGAGCTGCTGATTCACACATGCTCGTTCTGTCTTTGCCAGCTGATTCAGTTTCTGTTCAGCCAGATGCAGTCCAACACACCCAGCACTGTGGGCCTAAAGAGAAAGCTGTGAGTAGACACACACCTACACACACAGAGCCGTGCACAAACACACACGGGCGCACAGTAGAGCAATCAACAAAAGTGAGACAAACAGGGCCACAGTGGGGCAGAGGGAAGGGCTGGCTCAGCTGACAAACTGAATAATCGAACTCAACAAGCGATGTGAATGGAGACAAGTGCTGAATCAGTCAGTCAGACACAAACACACACACACAGTGAAGGCAGAGCAGGGTGCGCGACCCTGCACGACAGGCTGTGTGTGTAAAATGCTGGTTCAGCTTTGTTACTGAGAGTGAACGAGGCCGACGTGAGAAAGCAACGGCACACCGCAACACAAAAGTGCCAAAGAAATGTGTATTTCTGGGTCGGGAAGAGTTCAGATGTATGCTTTGCAGAAATGTGTGTCTTTTTTTTCATACACTTCCACAATCTGGGTTTTGTGTCCTAGTTCATCTACTCTCACTGCAAGTTTCCTTGCTCCAAAATTAACCTTTTAAAAAAGCTTCGAGCTCATTTCTGCATGGGTCTTAACATGTGCACAAGTCTAGCATGTTTGCCATCATAGTTACAGTGTTAGCATGTAAACTGAAGCACAGATTCCTTGGATGGTCTGTATCACCACAGACAAGCATACAGTTTGTTGGTTAATCCATTAAAAACATTCCACATACACATCACAGAGGTCCAGTTTAATGATTTAAAACAGTGGAGGTGGGGTCTAGCACACCACTGGCTGCTGCCAGCTGACTTTGCCCTTCAGTGTTGAGATTATTATCCGTGGATATAAAGCACACACACACAACTATGTGTTTGCTGCATGGACTTGTTGGTTAATAAATAGAAAACCGAAGGAGCACATGAGCTCTTGAAAGACTGAATCTTGTGACACAGCATTGTTAATTACATGAAGCCGTGTAACAAAGACGGATCGAAAAGAACTGTAGCATTCAGCAGGTTTCAGTGTAAACACCACAGACAAACAGACGTCTGCTCCAGTCACACCAATTAACCATTTGTTAATTAGTACATTGATGATCATTGTGCGTAGCTGATATTACTACTGTTTTATAACTTAGTGAAACAATAACGCTTCCTCCAGGCCTCTGATGTTGGACGATGGCTCTCCCAGCCCTCCTGCCTCCAAGTTCAGCCATAGTCACCAGATGGAAGCCATCCACGAGCCCTTCTACATCCAGTCGGTGAGAACGACACACCTCAAGTCTGGTTTTCAGTTTGTTGAAAGTACCGTGTGGACACATTTTACTGGGAACTATAATTAATAATCTGCTGTGCTGCTGCTGACCTTCCACATTCAGCACAAACAGCGCTGGTAGCAACATGCAGTCAAATCAGCTGTGAGGTAAACAGCTGGCCTTCCTAAGTGCTCGGCTATGTGCGATTCTAAAATGACCTTTAAAACCAACTGATCGAGTACATACACACTTCCCAATACTGATGAATCTAAATGTAGAACCATGACAGCTACTGTGTTAAATCATAATTTATTATACAGATGAGGACAGAATCATTAGCACCTCTGATACTAATAATGAATCATATCATTTTTGCTGGATAATAGATTCTATTCTTTTGTTGTAGGTTTTGGCAACTCGCACCTACATCGCCTGAAATATCACAGCCCATTCTTCTTTGGCTAAGCTCTCAGGCTTCTCCATGTTTGATGGTCTCTTCTTGCATTTACCTCAGTCTGAAGAACTTCAGTGGGATTTAAATCAGTGCATTGTGCAAGCCATTCAATAACATTCACTTTGGCCTTCTGCAGGTAGTTCTTCACTGTGGAGTGCTTGAGGTTTTCTTTCAAAATCTTCTGTTATCTTTCCCGACTCCCCACAGTTGTGTCTCACTGTGGGAATGGTGTCCTTGGGGTTGTCTAAGGAGCTTGGGAAGAAAAGCATCTGGAGATGCTTGAAGATGTTTCACCTCTCATGGTGGAGAGTCCCAGATTTAAGCCCTGTGGGAGTGTTCCCCCAAGAGGGTCATGGACTCCCTATTGATCCTCTACCTAATCCCACGAGCCAAGGTGTGAAAACAGGTGTGGGTCACAATCAGCCAGAGTTTCGGGTGTGTTCATTGTGAAACCTGGCCCCACCTTATCATGTGATTTCCTGAGGTCAGATGGCCCAGGATGTGAGTGGGCGTTAAGGCGTCTGGGAAGGATCTCAAAACTGGATTATAGATGGCAGAGAGTTGGTGTCGTAAACCCCGCCTCTGTTCAAAGATGGTCGCTCACAGTGGACATAGATGCTTCTTTCACTCCTCTTTCAAACCATCTGTCCTCTCTGTCTAAGATGTGAACACTGGCGTCCTCAAAAGAGTGACCTTTGACCTTTAGATGCAGATGGACCACTGAGTCTTGTCCTGTGGAGGTGGCTCTTCAAACAGGAGAGGCCTCTTCAGATATAAGTAGTGTTTCTAGCCAAAGAGCTCTAGTTTTGTCTTATCTGACCAAAGTCTTCTGGCTTGAAGACGTCTCTTCTGAAGAAGTGGAGTTTTGTTCCTGTGCAGGCTTCTCGTGATTATCTTCTTTGAGACTTCAGTTCCCAACTCGGCCAAGTCATTCACCAGTGTCTCGGTCGTTCTTCTGCTGTAAACACATCTCTCACTAGTTTCCTTCTTTGAAATCTTTTGCTTCCTACCTCTGACAGACTGGCTCTTTACTGTCCAGCTTTCTTTGATGAAACTTCTCACTCCAGTTCATGATACTTGGAATGATAACTTTGGATCCATCTCCTATTTTATGAACATCAACAATTATTTTTTTCCATTTTAGACAAGCGTGTTTATAACTGATGCACTTTTTAACCTTTAATAGGAGGGGTTAATCATTTTGTCCTCATCTGTTTGAATACATATCCTAACACTCCAGCGCCATCAATCCAGCTGTTACTGTACGTCACCACTAGGGGGAAGCAATGTGCAGTGACAGATTTAGGGGGCCACCGATGTGCTTCACTGCAGTCCGAGGTCAAACACATGAGTCTGTAAAGGACTGTTACATACAGGCTCTGCTGCAAAGGCAACAATCACAGAAGTGTTGAAGTTGAAAAAAGGTCTAAACGAGTCCAACGAAATTCTGACTTCAACTGTTTTCAGGAACCAAAAGCATTTATGTGGGCTCACAACCAGATATGTTTGAACAGATTCTAGGTTGTGTGTTGTTTTGTTTTTTTAACTAAATACAAGCATCCTGAAAATCTTCAACTTCATTGGTGCTAAATTTATTAGAGCAAACATGCATCACAGTCCTCTCCTCTTTGCCCTCAGCCATCCAGTGATACTGCTTCCTGCTCTGCTAGCGGACTTGCAGGAGGACCGATTATATCCGATGTTACTGATATGTCTCAGGCGAGCATGGCTCTGCAGATGCAGCCTGATGAGACTAGGTAGGAGATCCATGTGTGACTTTCTTGGCTCACTATTAAAAGCTACTTTTAACACACAACGTGTGACTCTGCTTGTAGGGAGAAGTGCATGATGCTGATCAAAGAGGAGCCTGTGAGTCCAGGGGTACGAGGGGGAGGAAAAGGAAGCAGTGTCCCGGGAGGAGAGGCTGTAGCGTTGACCTCCCCGTGTGAGGTGTGCTCCTCTGAACCACCTGTCCTTCCTGTTGCAATGGTCCAATCTGTTCTGGAGGGGAGGGGCTCTGTAGGCTCCATGCTGGAGAGGAGGAGCAAGAGACCTGCTCTGGAGAGGTAGGTGCTCACAGGTGGACGAAGTCATGAAAAATGTAATGCAACAGAAAAGTACTGTGAGGTGTATGAATTGTATAACACATCCTCCATGTGTGTGTGCAGAGCTGAGGTTGCAGACACAGTGGAGAATGTGGACATGAGTCTGGAGGAGCTGCAGCATCTGCTTCTTAGGAGCCATCAGCAAAACGCTGTGGAAGCTGGGACCAGTGCTGTCATGGATGTCAGTAGATATTTGCGACATCAGGCTGACCGATGTCAGTTTGATGATTATTAGGGATGGGTATCGTTTAGGTTTTATCTGATACCAGTACCAAACCGGTACTTTTGAAACGGTGCCGGTGCTTAAACGGTGCTCGAACCGGTGCTTAAAGAATCAAGAACACCAACTTTGTCCAAAAACCTCTCATGTTCAGCTGTTTTTTGTAAAAAGATAACAATGTTAGCCTTTTCTGCAGCTATGGGGGATTTATGGCATCACTCTTGGCTGGAAGCAGTGCTTAAACAATGGAAAAAACAAACTTTGTCCAAAGTTTAGCTGTTTTCCACTTTTTCTTTGGTCATTTTAGCCTTTTTGGCCAGGGTGAAGGGAGTATCTGCCATCAAACAAGAGGACAGCTGCATGTAGCTATGATGGTGTTTGCTAGTTCACCTTACATGCATTAATGTAATAACGTGGTTAGCCTACTCAACGTAAATTACACACGAACAACATTAAGCTACTCACGCAGAGAAGAACGGCTGCTGCTGCATCATCATCCTCATCATTTCTGCTACACTGGCAGGGCTAGGGGCCAGGACTCTCCTCTTCGGGTTTTTGGGGGATGTTGCTAACTCCGGGTCCGATAACAGGCACCACACCCGCAGTAGATGTGCTCGGTGTGAGGTCTCGCAGCAAGCTATCAAATACGGCGCATTTCTCGGCTTTAAAAAAACGCTATGCGTCGCCAGGTGTTTCATCAGATTCGAGGTGTTACCTCCTTTGACAGTATCACAGTATCAGCTTAAAGCACTTGTTGCTGCTGAGTTTGCATCTTTTGCTGTGAAGTACAGCCAGACTTTTGAACGCTTTGCCTTGGACATTTTTAATCTGTAGCTCTGCTCTAACAGAACGTATGTACCTGGCCCCGCCTACTATCCTCGGAAACGTAAAATGATTGGCTAGAATCCAAAGTGTGTGACATCTCAGTAAAAAAAAAGAAGAAATAAAGCACCGAAATGTGCTCTGCTTTTCGGTCTGGTTACTACCGTTTATGTCAGAACTGGTGCCATGATACCGGTACCCATCCCTAATGATTATAGACAGCAGCCAGCGGAGTGTATTATTGTATTCATATCATTATGCTGCTTCCCCCCTGTTTCTTCTAGCCTTTCAGTCTAAGTCTGCCTCTGACTGAGTGGAACTTCACAGAGATGGAGCCCAACCTCAAACCAGTAAGTTTAGTCATGTGACTCTCAAAGCTTTAGTCACTGGGAGGTAAACCAGCTCAATAATATTGAAAAGACCCAACAATCCCCTACGAGCAAGCACGTGGCGATGATGGAGAGACTTTCATCTTCTATTTTATTTCCAGTTTCAGTAACATTAAATTCAATGTTCATCTGATTCTTAGACATTTTTCCGCACAGCAACACAAGTGCTTCAGTTTCACTACGATGATGTGCATCAGTGTGAAAACACTGATCAGCTACAAAGTGAATGCTGTAACAGGATCAGTCACATCAGTGCAGTGTGAAAAAGCCCCAGCAGGTGGAGCTTTACTACAGCAGCTCCATACTGCTCTGTGACAGAGACACTTAAGGAAGCAGAATATGACTCTGATACAAACTCCAGATGTTTTTATACCGTTCACCTTGTGGGAAGCTCTCACTACCAGCAGCTGCAGGAGGACAAAATATTCTTCTTACAGCCTCATATTCACTGGAGTTTAGTGATGTTTTGTATGAGACCTCTCCACCTTTGAGGATCTTTGAGAGTCTTCTGCAGATCTCCTCCTGATTGGTTGATCCCATGGGCTGGTCTATTGATGTGTCACCTGCTGATTGGTTCCTGTGAACATTTTAAAAACACTGGTTCCTGCTCAGCCTCCAGTCTGTGATGATGAACTGACTCTGACACCGGAGCTCCCCAGTCTCTTATTTTGTAAAGCATCTCAGCCTTTCCTGTGGTGCCAGCACTCTTGTGTGGGGGTAAAAATGAGTATGTTCAGACCCTGTAGCACAAAGTTTCTCTCCTCTCAAGCCTTGGGGTTCTCATCAATCAGTCACCATGATACTTTGGAATGATCTACAGCAGCAGGGGAAACCTGCTCGTGTGTCTGCTGGAGTTGAAACTTCTTTTGAAGTAAATAAACATAATTTGTCCATGCACTGCAGACCAACCCAACTCTGGCTAAATGTCTGCTGCCAGCTCAAACAGTGAAGGTTTTGGGAACACTTTGGAAGGCTGTGCCTTTTCTGGCTTTCTCCTCGGTCACTATTGTTGGAGTTTCTTCAGTCAGATTTTCCCCCACTTTCGTGCCTCAGAGGTGCAGCCCTCTTTCTCGATACATCGTCACCAACATCTGGCTTTTTAAAAACCCACTTTGAGAGATCTGCATTTTTAAAAATTGCCTTGAAGAATGGTCACATGGTAACCTAGTGCCATGAAATGTTGATCTGAAATCAAAGGAGCTTGCAAAGAAAAGCGTCTGGACTTCTTTAAGTTGCTTGAAGACGTTTCACCTCTCATCCGAGAAGCTTCTTCAGTTCTAAGGTCAAATGGTGGAGAGTCCCAGATTTAAACCTAGTGGGAGTTTCCCCCCACAGAGGGACAAAGGACCCCCTGATGATCCTCTAATCGCCTGAGCCAAGGTGTGAAACTGGGCGTGGGTCACAATCAGCCAGAGTTTCGGGTGTGTTCATCGTGAAACCTGGCCCCACCTTATCATGTGATTTCCTGAGGTCAGATGGCCCAGGATGTGAGTGGGCGTTAAGGCGTCTGGGAAGGATCTCAAAACTGGATTATAGATGGCAGAGAGTTGGTGTCGTAAACCCCGCCTCTGTTCAAAGATGGTCGCTCACAGTGGACATAGATGCTTCTTTCACTCCTCTTTCAAACCATCTCTGTCCAAAATGTGAACATTGGCCAGAAGAAGCTTCTCGAATGAGAGGTGAAACGTCTTCAAGCAACTTAAAGAAGTCCAGACGCTTTTGTTTGCAAGCTCCTTGACTACGATGACCTGGATGACTGAGAACCTTCACAGACATGTTGATCTGAAGTGTTTTTTCAGATCAACCACTGCTAACTGCCTTTTCCTAATTGTTGACCCTGAATGTTCCTGCTATCCTACAAAAACACAAAACCCCAGCACTGCACTCTGTTAAACTGTCTTATAATTACAGTGTTTTCTGATCCTGTGTCACCACATTGTTATATCTGCCATCCTATATTTCACATGTGCAACACGGGTGGCTTCAGATACCCCCCCCCACAGCCCACTCATGTTGACTGAAGACACAAAGACCAGCTGTGGAGCCCTGCTAGTTCTGTTTAATACAACTGTTACTTTAACTTGTGGTCTGAGTCTTAATTCATTCTTCATCCTGCTTCTGTTCCTCTTCAATTTAGATGAGAACACTTGATTGTTGACATTTTCTCTGTGTGATTGTAGAGTCTTTACCTTACAGTATAAAGTGCATCGAGTTGGTTGTTGTAAATAAAATTGAGCTGAGATTATTCAGTAATTATAAATACATAAAATTCAGAGTTTTGTATGAAGAACACATAAAGTGTGATTTGGTGTATTTTGGATGTTTTAAAGCCACTAAAATTACAACCTTTTATTAAATGTTCAAAGCTCCCTTTAGTGCCACGTTTGTTCATAATCTTTTCTGTTCCCAGCATTTACAGCCTTGGTGTTTATTAGCATGGATATTTCATAACAACATGAATGAGTGAATGATTTATTAGCTCATACTGAGTTTTGTACAGTGCAGTCCTCACATATTTGTTGTGTAAACAAATTGTTTGATATAATATGAAACGTTTCTGTTGGGATTTATTTTAACGTGTGCATGTTTATTTTCACAGTACATGTTCCAGAACCAGGAAGTCGAGGCTTTTCCAGCCGCTGGCTGTGAAGAACAGTGAATTTGTGCCGTGAACAGTCCTTTCTGAGGTGAAAGGTAAAAGTCTCTTGTTTAAGACTAATGTCAATGCAGCTTCATATTGTCAGAGGATCATCAGACTAATCGAACTGTCAAACAAATCCATTTCTTTGTGCACGAATGCAGGACTGTTTTTTACAGTGTTGTCACGTCACGAAGAAATGATTTAATCAGCGTATTTCTCACATCAGCCACAAACCACACGCATGCTGCATCTGACTGAATCGTATTCGTTTAGCTGCTGGAAAGTGTTTTGGTAACTTTTTGTGATTTAAATAGACTTTTTGCCCGTACACAATGAGACACAGCTTCTCATTGTTCGTTCATAGATCCCCCTGGTATTACACTGAAAATAAACATTGTAATGTATTAACAGATATAAAAATCGTGACACAGCTCCTCGCTGCTCGCACACAGCAGACCTGCTCTCTGATTCCTGTTCAGGTTTGCCACCGTGTGGTCAGAATCAGACTTCAGAGGTTCAGAAGTCTTTGGATGACGAGAACATTTTAGCTTCTGTTTATCGACCTCGTAGATCGTTAGTTAAGCAACCTGGGACTGAGGGGGCGGCTGAATCCTTGGTTTGGGCTCAGGAGGAGACTCACGTTGCTTTGGGATGTGTCAGGGAGGAAGTTTAAGAATCTGCTGCATCAGATCTGTGGAGGTACTTGCTATGGTGACCTCTTGAAAGTATAAATAGTTATTGTCACTTTTAAATAAAATGAGTGGCTTTAATGCTTGCATGAATGAAACCATTATTATAAAGACATCACTTGACCCACATGTCCAAACTCCTGAAAGAGTAGCTGATCGCAGCACAGAAACAGCTTTAGTGAAGGTTACAGCTGATACTCTTAGAGCCTGCTAGACCTCAGGTTGACACCTCAAACCTTTATATTTTATTACAGAGATTAGCATGCTGTAGGCTTTAAATGTACTGCGTGCAGCGGATGAACCAAATCTCTTTAATATGCTCCAATTTTTAATATAAATGGGGAGTCTTCTTCACAAATTAAGGTTAATTATGGGGTTCCAGTGGGCTCTGCGCCGCGGCCGGCCCTGTTTACATTATACATGCTTCCCTCAGGCAGTATCATCAGCATACATTTTCATTGCTGCTCAGATGATACCCAGCCAGAAACAGAGAGCATATTTCTCCCATATTGACTTCCTGTTAAATCTGGAACTGAATTTAAAATCCTTGAATAATCAGATTGGCCCTTATGTCAAAGACTTCGCAACACCACATCAGCACAGAGCTCCTCGCTCGCAGACCGCTTCTGGTTCGTTTAAAGGAGAACGGGAGGCAGAGCTTTCAGCGTTCAGGCTGCTTTTCTATAAAACTAGACGTTTTTTGTAATGTAAAGGTTTGTAACCTCATCTGCATTATTTTTAATAAGAAAATGAACGTGATGCCACACCGATGACTGAAAACTGTGTGCTCAGTTTCTGACGCTCCTTTCTCCTGTTTGTGTCTGCAGGTCACAGACGCTGCCGTTACGCTTTGTACTCCAGTGGGCACCAGTTTGAGCCCCAGGCCCTGCCAGGCTATTTCCTACAAGTGACTTTGATTTTATTCTTTATACATCCACATGCCTACAACAGAAAAAGGTCTCTGCAGTCGTTTTGATCAAAGCTTTTACTTCCTGGTTTTTTGACTTCATCGGATCTATCAGCTGTCTGATCTGTGGGCGTGAACGATACCCACATGGCGAAAAAAGATGTTAGTGACTATGATTTTCACAGTTAACCAATCACAGAAGAGCATTACGACAGCCTTACATCTAGACTCTGATATTAAGCCGGATGGATGCAGACGGTGCATTCTTGGCTCCTGCACTTTAGTCTTTGTGTGAGAGGGAGTTCCTGCTTGGAGAGGTGACTTTTTCTTCCTATAAAGATTTCACGACAGATGAATATTTTTTATTAGTTTATCCTTATTAAGAATATGATGTATTTGTATCAAAGAACAAACTTTGGCAGATTTTATGTGATTTTCTCAGTCTGTGTAGGAGTGTAGATTTTGAGGTATACTTTAGGCATTTGAAAAAAATCATATCCTTCAGAGAGATAAGCGTGTTCGCGTTTCTATCAGGCTGTGTTAAAATCCATAAAGAAGGCTCTCTGAAATCTATCGCAGTAGAAGGTAACACCCATCTTTGCACAGTCCCAACGTGAAGCCTGGGATTAGGTTATTTCTCTTCTGTCTGATTTAAGTGTTAAGTTTTAATAGACAGATTCTCATTTGACAAAATCTACACTGGACACTACGGCATATTTGCACAATCGGTATATCTAGTCATTTATCTCTAGTTACAACAGTGGGTCATTGATTTCCTGTTTGTAAATAGCCAGCACTGGGTTGCTCAGTAAATGAATGACAGCATTTTTAAACCGTAATCTTTCATCTTGGAGACGAGTGGTCACACAGTGTTGCTGCACTTGTATCTGTGCTCAGTGCTACACATGCATACAAACCAAAGTCAGGACAGGGGGCTACGCCAAAACCACAAGGAGACGAAGAATTCGTCAGCTGTCCAGGAGCCGGTGTTTACTTTGACTTTGTTTCACTGAATGTACGGTGGGGTGATTACTTGATAATTGAATCTTTTACCTGCTTGAAGGAATGCGTCTTATTTACTCTGGATAACGACAGTTTATGACAGATTATGACGTTGGACATCGAATATTAGTCCTCACCACTGTTTGGAGGCAGTAGATGAACTTGAATTGTGCAATACTGTACAGAACTGTGAGAAACTGCAATGACCATAGGAATGTAGAGAGCAGCAGCTGTAAGTGGTGGACTGGAAAGCACCATAGAAAGATGCACTGCAGAAGGATAATGTTAGCTTGTGAGCCTAAAAGCCCCGCTATTCATACAGAGTCTGACAAAAGCTTCAAATTTTAGTAGCATTAGTGAGGAGGTCAGCTGCAGCGCTGCCTGCAGCAAGGCCACGACCAACATCGTGCTGCATCGTGTAGCCGCGCCTCAGTACCTCGGCGCTCAACCAAAATCACGACTTGTGCAGAAAATCTGCAGCTTTTGCCCACGATGTGAAGCTGACCATCATGGTTTTTCCCCCATATGTATATATATATATACATATATATGTATGTATATATGTTTTTTTACATACACACACACACTTATACACTTGCAGGCTAACATTTGATAATTTCATTCTCCATGCAGCTTTTGGAAAAGGGACGGAAAGCAAGTTGTGGTGTAAACAAATGAAATTGCACTAAAAATGACAGTTGTATGATATTTGAGAGTACACAGTACATTTTAGACATAGCATTTATTTGTGTTCCTCATAATAAATATGAGTGTAATTACTTTTTTCCAAGGAGTGATGAATACATGCATTCAGCTGCTGTTGTGTTCTTAATTTATTCCGTTTTCCACTTTTAATCATTTGCACTGGAAATGATCAAACTGTGTGTTCAGATGACATTATGCCTGTCGGGATTGCAGACAGATAAATAAGTATTGATGTTCAACGAGTGAAAAGATCTCTGCTGTAACAAAGCCTGGCATCCAAAAGCACCTCTGCACGCTAAATGGACTCTAAGAAATGTGCATAGAAACACACATCACGTATATTAAAGCAGAAAATCCTGTCGACACCGGCTGTCAGTGAAGACAAAGACATGATCTCAGTGCTTAGATGCTTTTGAAAGTGGGCCGCTGAAAATGTGAATTGTTTTAAATGGATTTTTATTTTTAAAGAATAAAGTGTATCGTTACAGGGAGTCAAAGAAACTGAACATGTATTCCACCTGTGTGTGAAATATTTAAATGGAAACTCCAAATAAAAATTCACAACAAACAAATTATTTATTTGAAGGATTCATCAGAATGTGTTAAACTGTATTTATTCTGTTTTATGTAAACAGCTAACAGGAGCATGCTAAGTTAGCTTGTTAGCTAGCTTAGTAATAGTTTATCTAAAGCAGGGTGACCAACCGTCCTCTTTTTCCCGGACATGTCCTCTTTTCACGATCTGTCCGTGGGGGATTTTCGAGATTGATAAAAATGTCCGGGTTTTCCTATATTCTGACAGAGGACCCATGTGTGTGACGTCATCCCCAATCTGCTGCTTTGTGAGCACGTTCTGCGCTCACAGACTAGTGATGGGATTTCCGGCTCTTCAGGTTGTTTTGTTGCTTTAATTAATTTATTAACAATAATATAAAATTATGCACAAAAGGAATTACTAATGTAAAAAAAAAAAGTGGTTTTATATCTATATGTTTATATATAAATATTTACGGTGGCCCCTAGAGACAAAACACGTACAAACTCCAAAACACTTTTCTAGCATTAACTGAACTTCCAAAACAGAGCTACTAGATCACTTAAATTACACAATTGAAAGCATGTGTGTATTGTTTGTGTATTCATACACAAGCACTCATATATATTCAAATAATTTTTTAAAAAAAAGTTCATTTACCTGTTACTACCAGTCAGAGGTGGGTCGAGTATCCAGAAATTGTACTCAAGAGTAGCATTACCTTAAACTATTATTACTCAAGTAAAAGTGAAAAGTAGTCGTGAAAAAAGTTACTCAAGTAAGAGTAAAATAGTACTTGGCAAAAAGACTACTCAAGTAACGAGTAACTGTTTGAAATGTCCGATTTATTTTATAAATAAATGTTATCAGACAAACAAAAATAAATAAATATACAAGTTTTAGTATTTTCAACAGGAATATATGTAAAAACAACAAAATAAGGCACAACAATTCTAATTTCCAGGTTTCAGATTTTCACAACATAAAGCTTTTTTCACCAATACCTGCAGTAAATAATATAAATATATAAACAGTGCAAACAATTTCCAGTGACAAGATATGCTGCAAACTTTATATTCATGTTTGCTCCAAATGGCACAGCAGCCTCAGAGAAAACAGAACGAGGCATCTTCAACATATGTTCATACAAGGCAGCTCAGTTTACCATAAGTTGTATGGGTGTGCATCTGTTTCTGCATGTTTAGCAAAAATGTGCCATTTCTTCACTCAGTGAGGAGATGGTTCAGCTTCAGCAGCAGTTTGCTCTCAAGGTTCTTTCTGTGAAGCTGTGACTGTTTAGCAGTGAACAGGAGTCCTGCATGACTAAGATTCCTTCACAAGCTCCAGATGCAGGAAGAGCTGTATTGATTTTGATGGACAGCTTCTTGATGTGAGGAAAGCCATGCAATAGAGCCACACCTCCAGTGAATGGACATGAAAGGTACCTCTCCAGTTCCTCTGCTTCTGGCTTTCCTGACCACATGGATCCATCATCTTCGTCGGTTAGGCCGCTGTTTGTGCTGGCCTCATCCAACTCTGTGTCTATGTGATGTCTGATGAAGTGGAGACCTGTGGAAAGATGTAAGGTTTTCAAAAGAATTAGGTCTGGTCATTATAGTGCTGTATACACTGCCAAGCTGCAGATGTTTGCTTGGAGCTAGCCTCCAAAAGCTGCCCATACACTGTGCGATTTTTGGCCCATTTTGAGCCGATTTTTCAGTCGCGCAACTATTTTGGGGATCGGCCAAACCAGGCTAGCTGTTAGCTTATAGCTCACGCTAGCTAACCAGCTAGCAGTTAAAAGGACAGCCGAAGCTGCACAAAACACTCACAAACTTATCTCACTACAACGTAGCGCCGAAACATGACTCGCAGCTCGACACAGCTACTGTAACACAAGACTGACATCCAGCTAACCACAGCTAAAAGATATTTAGAGAAAACTTACTCAGGTTACACGAGCTGAGTTGTTTCACGCTGAAAAGTTGTTGTTTTGTTCTCACTGAAGACACCGACGCTGAAGACAGAGCTGTTCTTTTGTGCTGCTTTTAAGAGAAACATCCTTTGTATGTGAGGCCAAGGCTGTTCATCCTCTTCAGCTCTAGCGTAGACGACTGGCTCTGCCATGTTTTCATGTTTCTTCTTTCCGTGTGTCGCTACTTTGAAACGCTTGGGCCGCTCTGCCCGCCACAGTTTCAAACTGGTCATGTGACTGCATGGCCACATCTGATTGGTAAAAAAGTTACCGGAAACTCCACTGGCGGCATGTTATCTAATGTGTTAAACTAATTACTTTTTCAAAAAGTAACGAGTCGAATTTTGCAAATGTAGCGGAGTAAAAGTACCGTTTCTTCTTCACAAATGTATTTAAGTAAAAGTAAAAAGTATCGTGCAAAAAAGGTACTTTAAAAGTACATTTTTTTCAAAAACTTACTCAAGTAAATGTAACGGAGTAAATGTAACTCGTTACTACCCACCTCTGCCTGCAGTCTATCTGGATCAGATATAAACCAAGTTTAGGTGGAGTTTATTTTCGTTGTGCTGACTTTTTACAGTCAGTTACAATAACTCGTACTGCGTGCTAGCTAGCATGACGGAGTTTCTATACAGCTGGGTGGTGCTATGATGTTACTGATAGTGAACTTTATTTTATTCATAAGGTTATTAGAGTTGCCAACCTTCCGGTAAAAAGAAAAAAAAAGCTGAAAAGGAACAGTTTGTCCCGGACTTCAGCTAGAATTAAAAAAAGACACAAAGCTGGAGTTTTTCTGTCGTTATGCTGTCAGCTGTTTCTTCTTCTCTCATTCTCTCCCCCCTCCCTCTCCTGTTGCTCCTTCAATCATGAAACTGATCAATGATCAGCTGATCGGCTTTTCTCTCTTCTTTGTTTATCGCTCACTTTGCGCCAGAAAGAGGAAACCAGCGGATGTCGCGCTAAACAGCAGCAGCAGTTTAAGCTTGATCAGCTTTTGTTAGAATTGATTTAATATTAATTTCTAGTATCAGCTGATGTTTGCTGGAGCCACAGCTGTAAAGCTGCTGGTCATGATGTCGGTTTGGATATCTGGTGAGAGGGAAACATGAAGATGAAACCAGGAGATGTCCTTACTGAAT